GTAGAAATGTACACATCTGTGACGAGGTAAGGAGCGGGTGACGGTGAGTGTTAGGAAGATGGAGTTATTTACATGACAGTCGACACAATACAATAAATGCGGCAATCCATTCAATTTCTCCCCGTACCTTGTAAGTTCCACTAATGACACGTGCACACCTACGTGTATGCACGCACGCACCTACGCACGCACGAACCACGCACGCACACACGATCACACCCATTGCATCTCACACAACACCTGCACGTGCACACACGCTATGCACTACGCACACACGCACGGCACGCACCACGCACTTGCACACCCTCCATTGCACACCATGCACTCCCGCACGCACGCATGCACGCACCTCCAACACCATTTGCACTCACGCCTGCACGCAACGTCACGCACGCACTGCAAGCCTGGCTGCCGTACCTGTCGATGGCTATCCAGCTCTATCTGTGAGCAGTGCAATGCGATCTCTATACGACTTGAACTTCGGCAGCTGCAGATAAACTTGCAGTCGCTCGTGTCTTTCTTCTTAGACGGATCGCTGAGAAGAAGTGTAGGAAGCGAGAGCGTGCTTCGAATCACCTTGCACCTGTCGAAGTGTTAATCATCATCACCTTCAATCACCATCATGCATCACATCATCACCATCATCACCATCATCACCATCATCAACCATCGTCATCGTCATCGTCATCTGTCATCGTACATCGTCATCATCACCATCATCACCCATCACGTCATCTCATCCGTCAATCGGTCATCGTCATCGTCATGCGTCATCATGCCCTGCATCACATCGTCTCGCTCATCGTCATCGTCATCGTCATCGTCATCGCTCATTCATCAGCCATCATCACCAGTGTCATCGTCATGCTTCATCATCATCCATCATCATGCATCAATTTCATCATCATCTTCATGCATCATACCATCTCATTCCTTGTCGTTCTTGCGAGCGCGTATAACTGCGCGGTGTGCGCACCAGGGGGCGCTAACTCACTTGGCGACCATGACGTTGCCGACATCGAGCGTCTGCAGCCAGTGTGGCCGGTCGTCTCCGTTCGCTAGCAGCCATATCGCCTGCTTCGTGTCGTTTGCTAGAGCCTGAGAGTTCAAGACAGAGTTCTTGAGCGGGCAGCGGCGCCGACTCCGTTATAAGCAGCTGCAATCGGGCAGCGCGATTGTCGACACTGGGCTCTGGTAGCTGCGCGGGAAGACACGGAACGTGCTGAGTGTGCAGGAGAGAAAACAAAGTCGTGAGGGGCACACTTGCTGCGGGAAGCAGGATAAGAACGTGTGTGAATTCCTACAGTGAATAACTGCTGGGTTCAGCGCCCCCTACAGTGTAAACCCTAACCCTAACCGCGCAACGTTCAGATGCGGCAGCGCCACCTACCGCGCAACATGCTCGACACGCAGCGCCACCTTACTGCGCGATACGTCTCGCAGCGAGTGCCAGCCTACCGCTTGCGACACGCATCGCTCGCAGTTTTGCCAGCGCCACCCTACTGGGCAAACGTCCTCGCTGCGCAGACGCCCAAATATCCCCCCCCGCGCACAGTGAATGCTCGACGTGGCAGCGCCACCTATCCACGCGAACCGCTCAGCAGCGTCAGTGGCCCACCTACGCGCGAACGCCTCGGCAGTGCAGCGCCACCTACCGCGCAAACGCTCGACGTGCAGCGCCACCTACCGCGTTCTGGCTGAGTTCGTTGAAGCGGATACATGTTTCGACGTAGCACTTGCCGTGCTGTGCGAGGATGGAGGGATCGACAGATGCGGCGTCCACGCCCTGTACTAGGGGAAGCTGAACGAAGCCTCGGTAGTCAGGTCCCTTGTCCCGCAGACGCACGCTGTACACCTAGAAGGAAGCGGCAGGAAAGCAGATACGTTATGTTGTTACGAACGTCGAAGAAAAATTACGGACAAGTACGATAAGTCGAAGGTAAAGTTTGCGGACGCTCGATGAGAAGAGAGTTTAGCAAAACCTAATGCATGTTAGCATGCGGCAACCACTCCTGGCGCCACCTACCCCCTCGCGTGACCGCCGCCGGTGCCACCTACACCCTCGCGTGACCGCCGCCGGTGCCACCTACCTGCGTGTTGGATCCCGTGACGATGCGCACGGCGTCGAGGCCCTGTGACGACCGCAGCCGCGGTCCGTTACGGAACACCTCTCCACACAGCTTGTTCTTACAGGCAATGCCGCGCGTCCCGTTCAACGTGCCGCACTTAGGACACTTGCGCACGCCTCGCAGCGTCGCGCGACCCAGGTCACCTAGCAACGCCTTGATGTCGGACGTCTGCATGGCGTAGTCGCTCACACGCTCAGTGGTCGTCGACGACGACGATCGCTGGGTCGGCGTGAGAGGGTTACCTAAGTACCTACAGAAAGAGAAATACATGATAACATATGACACTAATATTGTATATATATATATAAATATATATATACAGTTCGACCTCGTTTATCCGGCCACGTCGGGACAGGCACCCATCCCGATATGTGATTTGACCGGTTATGCGATTTATGCTCAAACACAGCATTTCTATGCAGCTCAGTAGGGTTTATGCATGTGATAATGTATTTACTCGTTGCTATGATTATTTGTAACAAACTGTCGTGTTTTATGGTTTATATGAAATGGAAAAAAACAAAGCGGTCTGCTATAAAACCTGTTGCCTATCATGCATGTGCACGGTCGTGCGTTTTGAGCATGTGATAGCATATGAGTGGAATGATGCAATTGCTGTGTGAGCAGCGCTGGATACATGTACAAGCGCATCACATGTTTATGTGTTCATGTTTTGTGCATGTGATAGCCGTATATTTATACATGTACATGTACATGGGCGTTTGCTCTTATACATGTACAAGCGCATCACATGTTTATGTGTTCATGTTTTGTGCATGTGATAGCCGTATATTTATACATGTACATGTACATGGGCGTTTGCTCTTATACATGTACAAGCACATCGCATGTTTATGTGTTCATGTTTTGTGCATGTGATAGCCATATATTTATACATGTACATGTACATGGGCGTTTGCTCTTATACATGTACAAGCACATCGCATGTTTATGTGTTCATGTTTTGTGCATGTGATAGCCGTATATTTATACATGTACATGTACATGGGCGTTTGCTCTTATACATGTACAAGCACATCGCATGTTTATGTGTTCATGTTTTGTGCATGTGATTGCCATATATTTATACATGCACATGTACATGGGTGTTTGCTCTTATACATGTACAAGCACATCGCATGTTTATGTGTGCATGTTTTGTGCATGTGATAGCCGTATATTTATACATGTACATGTACATGGGCGTTTGCTCTTATACATGTACAAGCACATCGCATGTTTATGTGTGCATGTTTTGTGCATGTGATAGCCATATATTTATACATGTACATGTACATGGGCGTTTGCTCTTATACATGTACAAGCGCATCGCATGTTTATGTGTTCATGTTTTGTGCATGTGATAGCCGTATATTTATACATGTACATGTACATGGGCGTTTGCTATTCTACATGTACAAGCGAATACCATGTTTATGTGTTCATGTTTTGTGCATGTGATAGCCGTATATTTATACATGTACATGTA